TCAAATGCATATAGAACTTTCATCAAGATAGACCATATTCTATGCCATAAAACAGGTGTCAATAAATACCAACTGACTGAAATTATACAGGGTATATTTTCTGACTACCATAGATTTAAATTAGAAATCAGTAAAAATATGATACCTCGAAAAATCCTCCCAAATATAGGAAGTAAACCCGTGGGCCAAAGAATAAATCACAAGGGCTACTAGAAAATATTTCAAACTGCTCATAATGAACATACGACATACAGAAAAATTGTGGGATGTAATTAATTGTGGGTAGTGCTTAGAGAAAAATCAATAGCTTTACATGATTATTAGAAAAGAAATATGTAAAAATGAGTAAGCCTCCACCTTAAGCTAAGAAACGAACAATGAATAAAGCTTAAGTGGGGACATCAGTGAAATAGGAAATGGACTAACAACAGGGAAAATCAACTAAGTCAGAAGTTTGGTTTTGATACACATCTAGCAAGACCAGTTGATCATTATTGATCTATGGCTGTTCCTCTATTAATCTGTGAGCAAGATGGGTGAGAGTAAGGGATCTGTCTTTGTATTTTTTTTTTTACCATCACTGCATCTTGTATGGAATAAGGGCTCGCTTGTATAATTATAATTAAAGGAAGCACGCCTCCATTCAGCCTAAAACCTTAAAGTCCAAGAGGAAAGGCTCAGATCAAGACTCAGTGTGCTAGATTCTAAGTTTGAGTGTTGCCAATTCTCATATAAAACAACACACACACACAAAACAGCATTTAATTATCAATCATTTCATGGAAAAAGATTTTAAAACCCTAATTTTAAGGAAAATGTATCTTTTTTAAAAAATAAGAATGTATATTATCCTAGCAGTCACTTGCCACTTCATTTCCAAATGATTATAAACAATCTCATCAGTAATGATGGCCTAAGAGTTAAGTACAAACTAGCAGATCAGCGTGCCTGACCTTTCATATTATCTTCCCCAAGCTGGGTAGATTAGTCTACCTTTACTACTCTGGATAGCTTAAGTAAAATCAATTTGTTGACTTTCCCAGAATGTACATTTTTCGAATGTTTAATCTTTTTTCTCATTAATAATGTTAACACATATTTTGGTTTTATGGAAATTTTAGAAAATGCAGAGAATTGTGCTGAACACTGGAATTTGACACAACATTGTAAAATGATTATAAATCAATAAAAAAAAGTTAAAAAATGCAGTTCATTGGAACAAATGTGTCCCAGCACATAATCCAAAGAAAAATACTTATATTGTTCCTGTATTTCCCTCAAGTATACATTTATTCAATATGACTATACAACAGTATGGTTTCTCTTGTTTTCTTCCCCTACAATTCATTTTTTTTCCTGTCTTTTAGTATAATTTTGTAGGATAATTTCCCCCTTTGTAGTGCTTTTACATCTCAATCAAAGATCATTCCTAGGCCTTTCCATTATATTTTCTGTTCATTTCCTGTAATTGGAATCGTATTCCTCATAAATGGTTTCTGCCAGTAAATATTATCTTACAGATTATCTCTAGATTTTCCTAGCCATTTTATTAAACTAGCATTAATTTTTAAATTGAATTTGGGTCTTTGAGGAAAACATTATTGTATCTTTCAAATATAGGCCTCCTTTCCCATACTTACTTGCTTCATATATATTTCATTGATTAAAATATCTTGAATAATTTAATAAGCATATTGTCAAACTACTTGTTTTGGTCCTGATTCTGGGGAATGACTCTAGTGTGTCGTCATTATGTTTTTGGCTAATGGTGTGAGAGTGGTAAGTCTCAATGAGTTGCAGAATTACATCCTATACATGGTTTGTAAGGATATCTTGTGCAAAATGTGGAATTTTCTAGAATTCAACTTGACGATCATGGCTTTTAGTTTACCTTTTGATGTGTTAGAAAACTGGTATCATAATACTGAACTATCCGCTGAGTCCTAGGTTAGTCTTGGGTGCTTGGTTTTTCTTTATATTACTGCATTCTAGCCATTAGGATTTAATTTTGGATTCTATCATTCATATTTATAATAGAGGTGGGTCTGTAAGCCTCACTTTTTGGGTATTCTCTTAGGAAAGTGGGGAAAGGACGGAGAATCAGCATGTACCAAGCTACTACTACCTTTAGGACAATGGAATAGTGTCTTACATATATTTCATTTATTTTTTTGTAATTTTCTAAGATTATGTGGCTTTATACTAGTTTAGTTAACAGTACTGTTTAAATTTATTTTTCACTGTTTACTTCAATGCGTATATCATGGAAATTATCAGTTTCTGGGAAGTTTGAAGTAATTCCCATGTAAAGCCAACTTAGTTCCTAGCCTTTTGTCAGGTAATTATTTTATAATTGTTTACATTTTTTCCTTGATTGTCAGTTTGAGCAATTTAGACCTTAAAAAAAGGGCTTTCCTGCCTTAGTCCTACCTACCTACGGACTCGAGTTCTCTCACTTGGTTTCACTCCTACCCCCATCAAAGAAAGACATGTGCACAGAGGCAGCACACATCAACAAAAAGCGCTACTTTTTAGCTCTGCTGAATTTCAGTAAGGTCGCTGTCTCCTCCAAGCCTTGAGCCTCCACACTTACAGAAACTTTCTCTTCTGTGCCTGGCTGGCAGTAACATACTGTTCAGATGTGCTACACAATTACCGTCTATTCCTCTTCCACAAGGCTTGTATTCTGTTACTGACTTGATTAAATTCTATCAGAACGGGCATGCGTTACACACCCACGACTGAGATCATTACTGAGTAAGTTCTTCTGATAGTTGGTACATTTAACCTACTCCATTAGTCACACTAGTTCTGCTAGATCTTTGTAATGTTATCTTTGTCTTCTCCCTTTTTGTTATCTTAGTTGGTTCTCTTCCCCAACTTTGCCACACACATACAATATTTTGCTTGTGCTCTGGAGGATACATAGTCTATTTTAAATTCTACCAGTAGATGATTAGAGCTCCTTAATTATTTTTAAAAAATGTTCCATACAAATCTTGGTCAGCATCAGAGACTACACACAATTGGTTGGATGATAACATCACCAAGCTGCCCACCTCCCACTCAATTTAAAGTTGAGATCACTTCCTCAGAAAGGCTATCTGAGATCACTGTCCCCATCCCAGCTTAGGTTTCTCTCTTGTACTTCTGTCACAACTCACACATTGTATTGTATTATAGTGCCTTCTTCAAGAACAGACTTCATGAAGACATGCACCATTTATAATTTGTTTATCCCTATAAACCAGTCCAGCACAGTGCCTAGTACTCCATTAAATTAACTGTCGATAAAACTTAAACTGCATCATCTTTATTTTCATATCATTATCCCTATCCCTGTGATCTGGGAATATTTGTGAACCCTGTCTTCAAATTTCTGCTTAATCATTTGCAGCAACATGGATGCTCCTAGAGAATGTCATTCTAAGTGAAGTAAGCCAGAAAGAGAAAGAAAAATACCATATGAGATCGCTCATATGTGGAATCTAAAAACAAAAACAAACAAACAAAAACAAAGCATAAATACAGGACAGAAATAGATTCATGGACAGAGAATACAGACTTGTGGTTACCGGGGGGGGGGGGGGGGCGGGGTAGAGGGTGGGAAGGGATAGACTGGGATTTCAAAATTGTAGAACAGATAAACAAGTATTACACTGTATAGCACAGGGAAATATACACAAAATGTTATGATAAATCACAGAGAAATAAATGTGACAATGAGTGTGAAAAAAAATCATTTCTGATGAAATTTAATTCATCTAATCTTACAGTAGTTTCAGTTGCATGCCACTTTCATTTTTGCCCAATTTTCATAATGACCTGTACATTTTTTTGGGCACTTTATAAAGTATACATTCCAAAAACGTTCCACTGTGGCAGTAACATGAGTCCTTAGGACACTGTTTGCCTGTGTCTGTGTGTGTGTGTGTGTGTGCACATGCACACTGCGATTGTTATTCCTAAATCCCACAGTTTTTCTTTCTTTGTACTTATCAGGCGTAGTCTGAATTTGGACAAAAGGGTAAGATTAGATACCATAGGAATTGTTTGGCTCTGATGTCACAAGCTGGACCAGGACCACACTTGAATCCTTCACAAAGGGATTAAGGGTGGAGGGCAAGAGAGGTGGAAAAGCAGCAGTGAGAGCAGGAATGACAGACTTTTCTGCAGATGCATACAGACCTCCCTGGTACAAAACAATAAGAAGGTAACAAAAATATATTGTGTGAAAGACTTGTACCAATCTCTTCTATTTAAAAATAGTGATCAAAGCAAATGCCAGTCTTGGCCTTCTCTTAGAACTAAATGATTCTGAGGTGATAAATCGGAGGAAACACAACATCCAAGTGTTCTAAGTATCAAGGGTGCCAGCTGCTGCAGAGTAGAAGGGAAAGGTTATATATAGTTCATTTAAAGCTTAGAATGTGACCACTTGTCCTATTTACTGTAATTGTATAGGTGGTACTTTGTTTCAACCCTTTTATTCTTTCAAGGGTAGTTCAGTGTGTATGTATATGGGTGTGTGGGGTAAATGGAAGGGTTTTTTGTTTGTTTTTTTTACTGTGCGTTTCTGTTAGTTTGGTCAGTATTTTAAAGCACTAATTATGTGACTGTTACTAAGCTGGTCTAGGAATACACTGGCCCAAATTTGCTCTTTTTGATAGCAGCAAATGATCAATTAAAATTAAGAGGAGGTAGGAGGACCAAGGAAGGGTGATCTTTATTCAAGTGCTACATTAAATTACGTAACATCAGCATACATCATTCAATACTGATGGTATGCATATGTTAATGTACATATATGTAATATCAGAGTTGAGGAATATGTCTTCAGTAGGTTCCAAAAAAACACCAGTCTCTCTATGTAGAAAAGGCAACTACTATGCACAATTCTAAGTTACCATACCAAATACATGGCTCTTTTTGTGAAGCATCACAGTAATCTGAAAAATAATTATCCATACTTTTCAAATAAACACAAAATAAACCAATTAATTCTGAATAAGTAGTAACAACTTTATTTTAAGTCAACGTGCTGAAATGCAAAAAATATTTTTCAGCAACAAGATACAAAAAGTATCTCATCATTAACAGCTGATTAAAAATGAGGCTGAAAAGTTCAATATAAGTTCTTTATACATTTGAATCTTGAAAATCAATTTCCCCCAGACTAATTTTTAAATAATCTCAGCAGAATTTTATTTTCAAAAATGGGACTCAAGTTTTACCTTCATTCTAAAAATATTGAATGCAAAATTAACTGGGTTACAGTATACAATGATAAACTCTAACAACAGAAAAAAGATTTAAATATAAAGTCCACATAATGCAAACAGAAGACACGGTGTGGTGATTTCATTCCTAGTGAAGAGGAAGTCTTGCATGGTAGGCACTCAATATTCGTTCAACTGGACCTAAAGTTACATCATTCCATTGAACACCTAAATAAAGCAGAGCTCATAATCTGTATAAAAGAGGTTTGCAAAATACTCTTATGTGTGCTGAAAGTGCTGTTTTTATAATCTGAAAACACTAAACCCACCCCCGACCTTGTTTTGCGGGAATACACTGAGTATTTTCATTTTGTCCATCAAAGAGAATAATAACTCAGAATAAGTCACTTCTTCAAGTAGACTCGGCTTTGAGAAAAGCCTGTTGAGCTGGATTTTAACAAAACAATTTACCAAAGCCCTAGTGTGCTATTTTATTAACACTGGGTAGCATCAATGAGCCACAGTTTTATAAAGAATTCTGCTCAGGATTTAAATTTATGCACAAAAGTTAAATGGGCAAATAAAACAGCAATTACACTTTTGGCAATTTAAGATCTAACTTAGATCTGGCTTAAAAATAAACCAATAATGTTCATGACACCTTTTTAAGAGATCTTTGTTAATATTTTAACTCAGTTTAAAAATTGATGTCCTAAAAAGGCACTGTTTCACATTTTATCATGCTATAAGTTGGTCATATGTTTAAGAATTATGATTTCCTCTCAATTGTCCCCCTAAATAAAGCACATTTAAATGGCATATATTTCAACTAATCTAAACTTTCAACATTTAACTGAGTCCTATTTTCAGAAATTCACTCAAACATACCACACACAAATCCAAGCGAATACACGTACGTGCGCGCGCACACACACACACACACCCCCCAACGACCACGGAATACATGCAAGGAGCTCCAATTACCATTTCAAGACAATGACACTTGAGTATTCAAGGAGGTAACAATGGCAGGCCATAGTGTTATGGCACCTTCATATTTGTGCTCCAAATACCGATACACGTTACAATTAAAAAATGAAAAAGGCACAAATATAGTGTTTCTATATATCAATCTAAAGAATAGTTCTCCAATGGTTACTTTTATAATATGTAATATTTAATACCAGTTACTACTTTTCTAAGAAAAAGCTCTGTTTAGGTGACAAAAGGGAAACAGGAGCAGACCTACCATTCAAAAGGCAACACTGCTCTGGACAAAATCTGTGCCTACTGAAAACAATGTGTGTAGTTTAAAAATGAAAGAAAAAAGGCTATTAGAGCACTCACGTCAAAAATATATTAATAGTTTTTTATCACTGCCTTAGCCCACAATACCAAAAATATACATAATAAATAAAAAAAATAAATCAACTACCCTATGATTCTGTTAGTATAATGGTAGGCATTATATTATCTGAAAAGTGGACATTTCTACAAATGTGGATATTCTTACAACACAGTGTTTGACATTTTTGGTACAAAATGTGCTACCAAACTAAAAAAAAAAAATCTTTATAATAAAACCCTTCAGATTTGCAATACACACTATAGTAAGTAAGAAAGGGTAAGCTGAAATGTTCATTATACATACTACTTAAGTCACTATGGTTAGAAATGCAGTTTCAAAGCAGTGAATTTATTCACAATGTGCCTGTGTGCCTTTGATATAAATGGATACACCAGTATTTTTTTTTCATATTTGACAACAAAATTTTATAGCCTGAGGAAGGAATTTGTTTTCTTGTAAGACCCAGGCAAAAATCTTAAATTCTTACAGCGTTTATGTGTGTGTGTGTGTGTGTAATTGTACATTGTAAATTTAATGGGCTCAATCTTACAGTGAAGTTACCGAAGTGAACTTCTGCTCCCTACGAAACTCTTACATCGGATGGAGTCCATTCGTATGTAAGAATTTTCTAACCTAAGGAAGTCTTCCAATTTCAAATTTAAGTTAACACAACAAAGACTCAAACTATACACAGTAAAAATATCTGAAAATAATGGTCTTTTCAAACTCTAGTGTGCTGTTAAAACCAATGATTATCTGACAGTGTTAGTTCAATGTAAATATGGATCACTCTTAGTATATTAGGATTGCTTCGGTAAATACTTAACAGACAACAAAAATAAAATCTATTTTAAAACTTCAGACTTCATTTTTTTCCTTTTGTCGTAAATTCAAAAATGAAACAAATTATACAAATTTTAACTGGAGAATAAAGTTATAGATGCAGATATATAGGTATATGTAGGTATATGTGTTTTCCTTTTTTTTGTTCCCCCCAGTGACACACTTTTCCCCTTGTGGTCAAATATCACTGTTACAGGAAATCAGATGCAGTGAGTTGACGCTGATTGCTCCTGCTTCTCCAGGACAATGCACCGGAACAGTCCTCCGTCGTGAACAGAGCTATCAAAAACTGAAGATGTGTATGTGTTTAAAACTAAAATTCACTTATAGTAAAGAACTGGCCTATGAAAAACAATTTATAAATAATTTATCCTGTTCACATTATGCAGAATTTCAATATCATCCACAATGTTGGTACAGTAACTGAGACAGAAAGGAGAAAGCTAGGGAAGAACAAAAAGGTTTGAGTCTAGCCTGATGTATTTCTAAGGGTTCTCTCCTTTTAGTCTGCAAATAGTATCAGTCTATTGTTTTCAGAAGGAGAGTAGACTGTCCAGGATTCACTTACTGTTCAGGTGCCTTCTCCGAAGTGTGATAAAACAGGAGTAAATTCAATAATGAATATCTGAAATTCAAACCAATTTAACTATAATTGAGAATATCTTTCTTATCTATTTCACAAACATCCCAGTTTGCCTCCATCTGTCTTAAAAATTTTTCAAAAGTTAAGACACAATCATACCTTATTAACTACCTCAAAAGAAAAAAAAAAGTACCATTCAGCATATAAAAGTTACACATTAAAAGTGCATATTTATCATCTTAATTGGCCCACTCACTAAATTTACATTTGGTCATCCTGACTTTTAACATGTACAGAATTCTTCATATAAATGTAGCTCACTATAAATTAAAAAGAATTCAGCACAAAACATGCTTTCTTCTTATTGAAATCTTAACCTCAATCAGTTCTCAATCACTGTAAACTTGGATAGACTCAAAAAGAAATAAGCAAAGGTTTGTTATGCTTCTCTTAGTTTGTCTGGACAGTTAACATACAAACATCACAAATTTTACTAAAAGTCTGGGCCAATTCATTGCATATTTGCCCCCTGAAATGAAAAATAAATTAGAATTGAAGCAGTGTATTGCCGTAACTTACCTTGAAGGTAAGCAGGTTCTCCTGTATGAATAGAAGTTAGACTGGAGACATTTTCAGTGATCTCCAAAACAAGTGCTTGTACAGAGAACCTAGTTTCAAACTTTGAGATAGCATAGGACAAACCCTGTAAAATTCATTTGCCATTCTCAAACTAATGGAAGATCCCTTTTTGAAACTATCTTCAGTTATCAATATTACTGCATTATGGAGCTAGTGCAATCCTGCATAGCCTTGATCACAATGACAAGGCACAATAAAAAAAAATTAAAGTATATGAACAAGAGAAGTCATTGAAGATAATTTAAGGCCTTGAAGTGAATTAGAGTATAATCAGTCTAATTTAAAGCTGAAGAATAAACCATAATTTATCCACCTGAAATGCAAGCAATATGCTTTTCAGTTTCTGTTCTGTGGACAAGACAACAGAAACAACTCTTGCTTATGGTTTGTGTATTAGAATCCTTCTGGACCTGGAGAAGTAAAAGTCAGTTCCATTTTCCTACAGTTCATGGAGGATTTCAAGACTGTTTTAGCCGTTTCCGTGGAACAGCAAACTGTGGGCACTGTGCAGATGCTAGTGCTCGGAAGGCCTCTGCTACCAAGTGAGGGTGAGACTGAATCATGGACTTCCACCCTGATGTTTCCATTATGTCTGTTGCTTGGCTGAAAAATAAAAAGTGAGATATTTAGTATAGAGTCCTTTTCAAAATGCATTGTTGAACTGTCAAAAAATTTTTTTAATTTACAGATTTCAAAATGTTTTGGAACACTTTGACTGTGTATTCAAACCATTTGAATTTACCCTTTAAATATCACCTTTATCTTACTGGTATTTTCTGTTGCAACTTAAACTATTCAGTTTTTCAGGAAGTTTTGTCCTGAAGCGTGTGACACCTGCCTCTATATTTGTGTTCCTATTGTTACCATTTCTGTACCTGCTCCTTCAAGAGCTCTTTTCTCCTGGATCATACATGCAGGTTTTCCGTAGAGTTCTAAGTTTTGTCCTTGACTACTCTTTTCCCTTAATATTCATTACTCATCTCATCCACTCTTTACAATTTTAACTATCATATTCAATGATGGTAAATACTGATTTGCTAAATCCTAGCCTCCCCACAAAGTTTGTTCCCAACCGTGAGAAACAAACCAACCTCGGATTATCAGATAGGAACTCAACATATGCCTCTCCTTGAGCTCCAGATTCTTCCTTCCTCATTTCCAATCAGCTAAGACTTCCACCCAGTGATTCAAGTCAAAACCTGGGAGTATACGCCATCCTTTCCAGTCATCAAAGCCCTGTTTTTATTCTTCAAGATAGAGTCTCCAGTTAAGGCCACATCAGCTCACATCTGATTTACTACAAGTCTCCTACTTTGTCATCTTCTCTATCTTGGCTCCTTTCAAATAGGCTTCCATGCTGCCTTAGTAACATGAACACTCCTCTCCTGTTGTTCTCCACTGCCAGTAAACAAGTTCTTTAGAAAGACAACAGTTTCCTAGTTCCTCACTCTAGCTTTCCACCTCCCAGTTCCATGCTCTTGCATTTTGTATGATACTGAACTGTTTATTATATCCTATATACCACATGCTCTGAGTAAATACAGTTACTCAAGCAGCAAAGCTAGTTACCCTTCCTTGTTCTCCTATCTTCTCTTTGTACCCACCCACCACCCAAATAATACCCAATTACAGTGTCCATTCAAAGTATTATATCCTTTCATTTCTCCCTAGCCCCACTGTTACCAATCAAGTGTAATTTTACCTGTATCTCATGCCTGAACCACTCCAATAACTTTTCAACTGGCCTACCTACACATAACCTTGCTCTCCAGTTACCATCACCACCTCAGCCTCCCCACAATCTGCTCTCTACCTTCCATAGAGACTGCTAAAAACACACACCTGATCACGTCCTACCCTAGGTTAAAACCTTTCACTAGATGCCCATTACTCTTGTCTAAAAGCCCTAAAGTTTATTTAGATGGCCTTCCATCATCTTATCTTTGCCTTCTTTCTCCAGCTTCTCACACCTCCCCCGCCCCCCACAATGTTTTCTTGTCACCAAAACTCAGCGCGCACGATTGTCTTTTTCTGGGATATATACACTTTCCCACCTCTTCCCTTTTCTTCACCAGGGCAACTCCTATTAATACTTTAGGTCTTTTATTTATACAACAATTCTTCAAAAGGGCTTTCTCTGACCCCTAGAAAGGTTAGGTCTTTTTGCTATATGCTCAGATGGGCATGCTCTACATTACCTATTACCTATATATCTCCTGCTAAACCACAGACTCCACGAAGGCAAGCAAGATACTGGTCATGTTTACCACTGTATTTTTGGTGCTGAGCACAGTGCCTTGGGAGTTTACTGGGTAATAAACATAAATATCTGTTAAATGAATGATCAACTGTTGCTTTACGCTTCTATACTTTGATTCAAGCTACGCTTTCTGTCTGCAATGCCTGTTATTTCCTTCTTAGTTCTGCTAATTCCTAGTCATGTTTTAAGACTCAGTTCAGTCTCAGTAAAAATATATATACCCCCATAAAGAAAACAGCTCAGCTCAGTCATCTCCTTCCCTAAACTTCCAGCTTTAGTCAAGTGTCCTGCACATACCTTTAGCACATTACTTACCAAAGTATAATGAAATGATATATTCATGTATGTGTTTCTTTCATTAGATAAATTTCTCAGTAACAAGGATTCTTCCTCATAATTGTTTTTATATGCAGAACCCTAGCATGGTGCCTGAGACACAATAGATGCTTAAGTAATGTCTGCTGAACTAAACAACAGCTAATAACAAGAGAATTTTTTTTTAATTTGCCTGACAATGAATTACCAGTGTGTCATTATGTTTATAATTTCAACTAGTTGTTTAGAATCACAAAGATACTTCTTAATATACCTGGCAATTTCACTTATTTAATTCAACAAATATCTTTGAAGGTCCCTATGTACAACACAGCTTCTACATGGGATTAAATAAACATTTTTTGACACTGAAAAAGTTATACAATGTAAAATATTTTCTTAAGAGAATAAAACTAGAGCTTTGCAAGTGGCTACGTACAAAGAATCACAACTGTCAGTTGACTTTTCCTGGGCTCACACACCATGATGATAATGTATTATCACACACACTGACCAATAAGTAGAACAACCAGTATCTTAAAAGTAGTGACTAATTTTTGCTTGCAGAAAACAAAATTCACAAACCGTTAAGAACTCAATTAACCAACTTCATATCTATCAAAACAGATGAAAGCAAGCGGACTTAAGTCAAACATTTGTTTTCTTGTCTCTAACACTGTCTTTTTCCAGTCATATCAACTTTTTGATAATTTGTGAAAATGGAATTTAAGGGTTATAGGCAAAAACTAATCAAAAGCAGATGCAAATTCTCCAACCTATTGACTCTTTTTGATTTTGATTACTTGCAGAGTAAAAAAGCCACTCTAAAAATGAGAGAGGAAAAAAGGGAATGGTAAGTTCTAATAGTTACGTCATATCCTGAAGAGTCAGGCTTAGAAGGAGGTCACAACTACCCCGCCCCGTACAGTTGTACCAGGGAAAAGAACGCCCCAATTGCTACCCTTTCTGGATTATCAGGCAGTCAGCCTAACACAGCATGTGATGCAGGGCGCTTGGCTAACCTAAGCAGTGGGCTGGCGTTCAAATGTCAAGACTTCCCAGGCCAATCTGAAGGGTACATTCCTCACAGGATAAAATAAACATTTCCCACATTTCTAAAAATGCTTCTGAAGAGGCAGGGAGAGGGTTTGTAGTAGTCATTGAAATACCTGGACTCAGCTACATACTATGTGAACATATGTGCTTAAGAATTACAGCATCCATCCCAGTTCACGTTAGAAGCTGATCTACAAGGGAGCATAGCCTCAAGAATCCACTAAGTAGTCAAATTATTTTTTAAACAACTGGCTGTTTGCTTCATATAACTAGTATATGGATTCATACTTATTGTAGATGAACAAAAGGCTATGCAAACATTTAATTTCATGTATGCAGATCAACTTTAAGTCAGAAACTGATGTCATCTTACTTGCTGTTCCAGTTTTTCCCATCTTTACACCCAAGCTGTCGAAGTACACTGCACCTGCATTGAAGATTTAAACACACTTAAGAAAAAGTTCGGTGAAAAATGGCTGAAGGTGTCATGTCCACTGAAATACAAACATAGCTTACCTATTAATAAAGTCTATGGCTTGTGCTTTCAACTGTTCTGCACTGTGCAAATCTGCAAGGACAAGGGTATCAGCAACATTTTCTACTGAGAGGTTACTGCACAAAGCTTCTTCACACATGACCTTCAGCCGTTCCAGTGCATACTATCCGAAAGGAAAACACAGCATTAAACATTTACTCAAACAACCAAGTTTTAAATACATATTTGTAACTTAGAAAATGAAGTTAAAGCATATTACACTTTGAGCTGAGGGTACTTTAAAAGTCTTTAAACTGTTTTAAGTATAAAGAAAGTATGAATTAATACATTCAAGAAAAAGTAATTTTTCTTAAATTTCTATTTGTGTAGGTGCAAGATACAGTGTATTTTTAAAACAGGGTTTTATTCTTTAAAAACCCCTTACTCCTCAGTACTCTTAATGAGTATATTTCTCTCTTCTACTATTTTAAACGCCAGCTAGTACACTGCATTTTGTCACTATTTAATCCTGAAGAATAAATTATAAAGCTAAACAAACCATATTTGTAGCCATGAAAAACTTACTAGTATATATGTTATCAGAACATCTCTGGCAACTTTATTGAGGTATAATTGACATGCAATAAACTGCACACATTTAAAGTTTATACACTGTAAGTTTATACAGCCATATAACAATCATTAAATCAAGACAGTGAACATACTCATTATTCTCAAAAGCTTCCTTCTATCTCTTTGTAATCCTTCTTCACCCCACCCCAGGCAACACCTCTGATAAGCTTTCCACTGCTATAGTTTGTATTTTCTGGAGTCTTCTATAAATGGAATCATACAATTTAAACTTGTTTTTGTCTGGCTTCCACTCAGTGTATTTTGAGATTCATGCAGATCGTTCTCTGTGTATCGACAGGTGTATGCTTTTTATTGCTGAATGATATTCCACTGTATGTAGACATACCATGATCTGTTTCTCCCTTCACCTGATGAACATCTGAGGGTGCCCAGTTTTTAGCCATGACAAATAAAGCTGCTGTAAACATTTATATACAAGTCATTATACAGGCATATGTTCTCTTTTCTCTTGATTAAAAACCTAAAAGTAAACTCACTGGATAATATGGTAAGCATAAAACTTACTAAAAAATTGCCAACTGGTCTTTCAAAGTGGTTGTATTAGTGTACGTTACCATCAGCAGTGTATGAGAGTCCTAATTTTTTCATATCCTTGACCATATGTAGTATGGTCTTTGTGATTTTAGCTATTATATTTATAGAAGTATCTCATGGTGGTTTTAATCTATACTACTCTAACAACTAATGGTGTTGAGCATCTTTTGATATATTTGGTTGACAGTATTTCAGAAAGTGTCCAAATATTTTTATTTTTAGAAATAACAGTTAACTTCTCACTGTGTTCTGAGAGTTCTTTATGTAGTCTGAATACAGAAGTCCTTGACCAGATATATTCTGGATAAAAGTTCATGAGATACATGCTTTGCAAGGATCTTCTCCCAGTCTGTGGATATTCTTCTGTGTCTTCTGAAGAAAATTTCACTGGAGTCCAATTTATCATTTTTCCCTGTATGTATATGTTTTTGGTGTCATAGCTAAGAAGTCTTTGCCTAATATAAGATCATGAAGATCTCCTATGTTTTCTTTTAGAAGTTTTAGATTTTTTAGGCTTATAATCCATTTTTTGTTACTTTTTGAATATGATGTAAAGTTCACGAAGTTCTTTATTCAGTGAGTTCAATCATAGTTCATTTTTCAGGCAAAGGGTATCCAGTTCATCCAGCACTATTTATTGAACAGACTATCCTTTCTCCACTGAACTGTCTTTTCATTTTATCAAAAATTAGCTTTTCAAAGATAAAGTAACTTTATTTCTGTACTCTGTTTCAATGAGTGATTTACCTATCTTGCCACCAGTACAACACTGTCTTACATACTGAGGCTTTATGAGTTCTCCACTTTGATCTTCTTTTTCTAAGTTACTAAACTACTCTAGTTCCTTGCACTTGCATGTAAATTTTTAAATCAGCTCGTCATTCCCCCCACCCCACCCAAAAAAAAACATGCTACAATCTGGTAGGGACATGTCGGTTCTATTAATCAAAGGAGAACTAAAATTTTAACAATGTTAAGATTTCCAGTCCATGAACAAGATTTCTCTGTCCATTTTATTTAGGTCTCCCTGTTTCTCTTAGCAGTGTATTTTTCAGTACATAATCTTCAACATCTTTTGTGAGATTTATGCCTACATATTTAATATTTTTGATGCTATAAATTGAAATTTGTACTGAGATAATTATAGATTCAACTAAGTTATAAGAAGAGATTCTGTATACACTTGTCCCAGTTTCCTCCAATGGTAACATATTGCAAACAAGTATAATTATCACTAAAAAAAAAAAAAACACACACACACACACAATATATATATATACACACATATATACATGGACAGAAGTGGCACAGACATTAATACTTCTGGAGAAAGCTCCCAAAGTGCTTTCAGGCTAAAGAACTACTGGTTGTGAAATTTCCTGATATTTCTGCACTGTTTCTCTACCTTCAAGAAATCGCCGTTCTAAAAGAACATTATAAAGATTAAAAAATAAATCTATGAATACAAAATTAAATTAGACAAAATACCCAATATTTTTCCTTTGTTTAAACAAAGTCATGCACTGTACCTTAAGACTATCTAAAAATTGTAATAAATTATATATGCTATTATGTGTGTGTTCTCATAAAACAGTAAAGATACATTCAAAACTACTGAGTTTACAGTTAATTTCCCATTTCTTCTATATACTCTGAATTGGCTCAAGATATTTCTTTCTTGACTTAAAAAAATTCCATTTCCATATTATGCCATTGTTATGTTATTTCATAATACTCTCAAGAGCCATCCACAAATAGTATAAATTAATTCAATATTTCAAGTTATTGGAGATTTTCATTTGATGATAGCTTTCTAGATACATCAAGCTTGAGGACATTTTTCAGCTCTTTAAGGCCTAATTACTTACTTTGTCTGCAGCTGCCAACAAGTTGTCAGCCATCTTGTCAAGGTTTGGCGCTTTCCCTGTGTAAATGAATCTCATCATTTCTTTAAAAACCTCAGGATCTACATCGTTTATTTCCACTCGATTCTGATATTGAAAACAAAGAAAGTTATATTTAAAGAACACACACATACACAAATGAACCAAAGCAAAACTTTGACAGTAATTTAAAAACCCCAAATCTGCACTCAAGCACGATACAACTCAAATACACATTAAAGTCTATTTTAAAATTCACGTAAGTAAGCAAATCTTAAGAACGCTAAGTAGACAAAGTGAAGCAGGTAGGTCCAAGAGAAGTACACCCAATCAAGCACTACCATGTAGGGGAAAAAACCCAATCCCTCAATTAAAAAGAGTTCAAACCAAAAAAACCCTGTAAGGCCAAACAAAATACATCTGTATTCAATTTCTGACATCCATCTTAGAGGAAGATGGCTATTAATTATTCCTTTGTTGAAAATAAATAGGTCGTAATATAATACCAAAGACCCTATAACCAACCAGTGGTTCTATTCCCAGTTCAAGCAAAGGTGGTGGTTAGATATCCGAGATCATACCAGAGCCCACTACCTCGGAACTCTGCGAAGTGGCATGTAATAATATTATCTACTGGCACCTCACCTCTTCACTTGAGCATACTCAAGTCTAAGAGGACAACTAGTTGCTCTTTTACTCCTGCACCTTTGTATCTGGTTTTTCTCTTCAGGTCAATAAGGATAAATATCCAACACTAAACAATACTAAACTTTTCTGACCCTTTGCTGACAATAATATTTGACATCACTGATCAGAGGACTGATCATACTACCTGCCCAGACCAATAATCAAAGGAAAGAAAGCAGCTATTTTGTTGCAGCCCCTAGTTCTGCAGGGAGTATAAAGCTGAGCCACATAAACACACTCAGAAGTTGCCTAGTTGGAGCAATAAAGTTTTACATGTAGTACAACCAGCAAAAATCAACCTCTAGTCTCTAATCTGACTACACTTCAAGAGGGACAGGTGGAAGAGAAATATCTGGGAAAACGAAATAGATAATATCTTGATTATAGTTAATGTATACTGACATAATTTATGTCCTTTATTAAATCTAATAAATATCCTCTTATTATAGTGGTAGAAAGAATGTAGGAATTATTTTTGTTCTAAAAAATAAGTTCCAAAATCAACTCATAAAGTCTAAAAAGATGGAATATACATCTTAATTGGAGAACTCTCAAATAGTCCAGAATGGACCAGAATAGACCTTTGGGATAGCTACCCTTTTATAACAACTAGGCATCTATTTTGCTACTAGAAAGCTGTCAAAGAGCTATTATTTGGAATATTTACCCACATTAAGCTACATCTATTTTGCTACTATATAACATATTTTCCCCCATCTTTCTGTTTCTTCCTAAAATCATAGTATAAACAATAAGAACATGCACTGATACTTCTAAAATATACATTCCACTATTCTACATTTGTACAAGTTAAATATTAGCTCTTTAAACCATGTGTACCTTTTTGCTTTCTTCCATTTCATGTTCAAACATTGCATTAAAAACTGGGGATCGAGCTGTAACAAGATCAAGCATCATTATTTAATGAACAAATTTATGAAAGAAACATACTATATGTATTACCCAAAAGTAGGAAAGTACCTGCAAGTACAGATTTATGAGCTTTAAATTCTTGTCCTCTCACGAAAAAACTGCAATCTGTAAATCTTGTATTTTCCCAGAGATTACCTAAATCTTCTGCTAGTCGACATTCAGGCACCTTCAAAGTATTTGTATTAGTATGTCCTGATATATTTACTGAATCTTGGACCACACTCACCTAATAAAAAAGGGACAACAAGAAAAACACTTTTATAAATTGACAGCAATAAGTAACTACTAAGTCTAAACTTAAATTTCTTGTCATTAAAGTCATTTGGAAAATTCAGTGTACTCCTGATCAAAAATGCTAATACCTGGGATTTGAATTCAAGGACACAATTTAAAGGAGAAAAGTAATATAGAAAAAAAAAGTTAAAACAAACGTGATGATTTTTAAGGGGCATTTTATGTAAATGGTTTATTTTTCTGTTGGAACGCTTGGATATTAAAGTAATTAGAAAAATTATTTCTCAAGAAAAAGTCATAATATGATGCCAAATTCAAACAAGAAGATATCTCTAAGGAGAATAATTTTTATTTCCTCACACTACAGATCTATCAACATTTAAAGTTCATTATACATACAGTAAACAGCATCACACTTACGACTTCTTAGAGTATTTTTAAATATTTTTTAAAACTACAGCCTACAATATGCAACTTGGCAATTTTAAGTGTTGTCCCAACATGTTTCAACTCTAATAAAATTGACTTAAATATCTAGTAATATTGATTTAAATTTTTAAGTATAAGAAATCTCACAAAACCAATGTAGTTGTTAGTGTTCATGGAAATCTTTTATTAAAAAATCAACAGTAAGAACAATAGAAATATAATTTAGTTTGATTTGCAGAACTTTTATTTACCTATGAAATAATAAAGTTGGTAAGATGCAACACTGCTTTTATATAGTCCAATATGTTATGGATTAAATTATCTCATTAAATATGTCTATATACTGAACAAAATCTTAAAATGCTATTAACTAAGTCCTGCACACCAATTTTAAGAAAAGGAATGTACTTTTATTAGCAATGTCATACTATATTTAATAAATTGAAGAAACTACTATCTCAACTAATAAAGCAAATATTTCAGAGTAAATGAACCATTTTTCACAAAAAGTACTATATTAGTTATGTACTATTTTAAACTGCTACTTTGTGATCATTTGCTATGCAGCAATAGATACCTGTGTTCATTTAAAAACATACTTCATAAGGCTCTTGTTAAATAAAAGTAGGTATAAGTAAGGACAAATACGGAAAGCTATGTAGAAATTGTAAATTAGAAATGGATAAACTGGACCAAACTAGTAACATTCTAAGAAAGTTTTAGTAATAGTCCAATACAGAATGTTTGGAGAATATTAAATCTCATTAGTTCTAACTCACCCAGATGTATAACATCTATCTCATATGAATGAGTGGACAATTCTAAAGAAAAATTTATTTTCTGAGGATATTTTTATTAACCAAATTTGTTTTTCCAAATTTTGTTAACTTTTGAGAATCATGTGTCATAGAAATCATCTAATCCAATCACCTTATTTTATAAAAGACTTTGAAAAAGTGGGATCAAGAGAAAGTTACTAAAGCGTCCTAAATCCACCGCTAGTCAGTATCAAAGGAAGACTAGACCTGTATGCCCAGATTCCGTTTAGCATTCTTTGTACTACACAGTATTTCTTTGGATTTTCTTTTTTAAATTAGTAGTACTTTAGGGATTTGTCACAACCACCTTGTGAGATGTTTTTCTAGATATAGGAGCCAAGACACTGTGCACATAAATAAACCCACCAATAAAGATTATTCTATTCCATTAAGGTTTTAATTATTCAAATTAGAAATTATAAAATTTCTAAAATTTTATAAGCTACAAAACAGAAAAAAAAAAGCTTAACTAATCCTTATCTGATGGCTCTGTTACACCATATATTTAAATTCAGGAGAGGATTTCTTAAATTCTCTTTGTATATCGTAACTCAAAACAATGTATTTAAAAATTTGGCAAAACCAGGTAATAGAAGGGAAAAAGGATTTAAAAAAAACCCATTATCATTGGTCATAGATATTGATGATGTTATATTTGTTGTACTTGGTATAATAATTCAGAAGAATTTATACTACTGGCATACACATCTACACAGTATCACAATGACTACAGATTTTAAATAAGACACAGTTAACATGTCATACTCCAAAGAGTAATAAAGGGACTACTTTATAGAGCAGAAATTTCTGATCTAAGTAAAATTGATATGCAATGAATTCTGATGATTATTTTCTCGATACCTATAACTAAGAAATTGGTAAAATTTAATTTTTTCTAGTACATACTCAAATATAGATAATGAACATTCTTACTGAATGGAACCTAGAGTAAAAAATTCAGAAAAAAGGCTGAGATTCTTTCCTCAGGTTAAACTGTTGTTCTTTCAAAATAAAAAGGCAAATGCACAATACTCAACACTGACAAAAGCTGAAAAGTAAAACCTCAAATTCATTTGACAGCTATTTTTGAAATCTGCTTTTGGCTCAACTCTGAGGATGTAATTTAGACGAAGGATGAGCATGTGCAAGCTCTAATCAGCTGTGACTAACTGGGAAATCTGGGTCTCCTCTAGTGTGGAATTAAGGTGAATACTGGTTCCAATTTTTAAAAATCTCATTTCTCTAAACTAATTCTGTAAGATAGGAATTTACAAAGGTGCATAGTACTACAAATTTTGCTGCTCTAATCAACTACCTAACCATCCCTCACACTAACTCCAAAGTGAGAAACTTCTAATAGTTCAATTTCATATCATCTTCTAGAATAATGGGTCTTCGAATTTACGACTTCAATAGACAGATATCCTTTTTTAGAATTTGGGTGATAGAAATAGGGTTGTCAATTTTTCATTTTGTCATTTTAGAGAATAAAACCCAACCTCCATCCATTATAAGTATTGTAAAATAGAAAGGATAAGGATAACTTAGCAACAGAAAAATAGGATGAGAAAAAAAGCATGTCCTTCTAAATGAATTAATTTAATTTTATGAAAAACTACCTATATTCTATCCATATATTTATTCTTCTGTATATCATAGACTAGCATGGGTCTATAGACTATGAGATTATTTCAAGTCTGTTGGATTCCAAAAGATAAATTATTCTAACCAATTTTTTATTTTTCCTACTTATTCCTCAATTTCTGTTTTCTGCATCACTTTGGGAGAGAAGGGGCATAGCTGTTTATACTGCCAGAAATTTCTGCCTCTGGCTACTTGATACGTAATGTGGAACTTGCAAGATTACGTTATGTCTTGCACAAGAGGGGTAGCGCCAAACTGCCTTACCTGTCTACAGCACCACTTGCAGGGGAGGGGGAGGAGGCAGATCTTTAGGTAGGGCAGTGCAATGCTTCCTCCTCTTCTGCAAGCAGTGCTGGAGATGCTGTAGAAGGAAGGGCATCAATGAGAGGTACGGAAGAAACGGTGGAGGGCACCAGGAATATATGTTCAAAGCACTTTTTGCCCACCTATGTTCAATACAGTGCCCAGGATTTAAACGTCTACATCAGTAAAGGTACATATTACAGTAACCAAAAATGAATCTGATCAATGTCAGCAATAAATCTATATCATAGTGGGTTCTATTTTTAGGAAGTCACTAGCATGTATAATTTAGCATGTGAATAAAAAGTGTACTTCAAAAACATGTATCTAAAAAAGATCTCAATTTCAGCCTTCATTCTGAATTTCTTGTTTGTCTAGGTTCCAGTAAAATATACTTAGTAAACAGTATTTCAATTCCTAAAAAAGAAATATTTTCTTCAAATGTTTATCACAAAAAGACTTTTAGCTGCAGTAGTTTTTTTTTTTTAATTGAATTACATAGCCTTTAAGGTCCTTTGAATTCTAAGGTTATGTGATTTAAAAAATTAATATGCTGAAATTTAAGATAACTAGTAAAATTCTGAAAAGATTCTACATTTAGAATGCTTAAATAACAACCTATAATTATTTAGAATACTACTTAACATATTTATCTATTGGCAACAAATGCTTTTAGTGTTTATTTTTTTCCAAATTATTTAATGATAAGCTCTGTTCAAGATATTTATGGTATGCACTTTATCAACCAAATAACTGTATTCATAATAAAGTAATCATACAGTTCATTTAACTTGTCTAAGTGAAAATAAGATGCACTATATTTCCAATATGCAGTCTCTGGGGCCGTATTTCAACTATTCTTCTGACACAGCATAATGACATACAATTAGTTTGTAATCTTGCCAAAAAAAATTTACATACTTTCTATAAAAATATGAAAGCTAATTTAGTAGCAGTTAAGGAAGTTATGCTTCCAAGACACTTTTCTACAACAATCTACTGAAATATATTTAACATTGAGGTTACTGATCATCTCAACAATTTGTAAAGTTGCATAATGATAACAGTGACAGCAGCAAATTCGAGCCTCAAATTAAGATAAATTATAAGTGTAAATTACTGGAAGGGGCAATGCTGGTAACTTTCAAAAGATGGCACTTTATGCATATGATTGTACCTTAGAAGTTTGTAAACAGACATGGGCATAGCTTAAAAATCTGAGATGCTATTGCTTATAACGTTAACACGTATTTGATTACATGAACCCAACTGGTTGAATGAACAAAGAGCTTCCTAATCTTTTTCAGGCACTTTCACTACATTTCAAGTATGGATTCAAACTGATAAACCACTAATAATGTTGAATATGATCAATCAGAATATGACAAAAAATACTGCCCATCTACTCAGAATTATTCAGAATGAAGAAGATATTTAGAAATTTTAATATAAAGCTGTACACATCTAGAGCCTTCCTATGAGGAAAATTTATATACAATTTATAGTTAAAGATATGACAGAACCTTTTCAGACTGGACTATTATACTGATTTCTAAAACAATCTAGTCATTTTTACTGGTAAAACATTTACAAAGTAAACCTTAACAATTACACCAGTTACTTAATTGTACAAGTACAACCAATATTGTTTCAATGTATATTTTTGCTTTATCACTAAATATAACTAACTACCAAGTTCCTTGAAATAAAAAATGTACCTACCTCACAAAATAATGTAAGCTTGTCATCTGGTAAAAGACCATTAGCTTCATCAAGCAAAAAATCCCTTCGAATGAATTTTTTAAAACCCCAGTCCTTGCCTTGTACAAATCGATATGCTCTTTGGCTTTCTGGTGGAAAACAGAATAGAAATTTAAATAAAACAAGTATCCAAGAAACATTTTGTTAACAACACAGTTAAATGAATGTGCAAAAATAGGACTTAGCCAATGCATCCATCATAAAAATTATAGATAATGTGTATTCATAAATAAAATGTCCCAAGAGTTTTATCAGGTATAACCAGATCATTTCACAGCACTACCACAAATTTTGGCCATCATCAATGAGCTCACTTTCAGAGTCCTACATATCTAAGCAGAAGAAAGGAAGAGATCTTTCTAACAATCTATGCCCTTTAATAATGAAGCAGGATCAAAATACACTGGCACAGGCACAGGCACAGGCACACTATTCATTATCTAGTATTAGAACCCAATCAGAAACACATCTCTCATTTCCTGCTTCTCCTTTTAAAAATGGATGCTCTAAATCACCAGGGCATCCTTTAAACTTTTCTGGGACACCCACCTCACTGATTTAAGTTTTACTGAACTAGAGAAAATTCCACTAACTGCTGAAAATGCTAAATAAAGTACCATATCATTCCTAGGTCTTTAGACATAACCCTCTTACCTCTAAAACCAACCAAAAGATGGTTTTAGTATGATTTGTGAAAGTTTCAATAAATAGCTTAAGTAAATATTTCAAATGCATAGCATACTGGTTAACAACTGTATACTATGAAATAAGATCCTTTACAGAAAGTATTCATTATCTGTTACACAAGTTGGAAGTGGAAAACCAGTAATAAATTTAATTGAAATACACTATGGTATGGAATGAATGTTTATATCCCTTCAAAATTTTTACGGTGACACCCTACCTGCAACGTAACAGCATGAAGAGGCCAGTGACTGGAAGATTAGATGAGGTCACGAGGGGAGAGGTCCTCACGAATGGGATCAGTGCTCTTGTAAGAGACCCCACAAACTCCCTAGCCCTTTCCACCACGTGAAGACCAGTGAGACACTGGCAGTCTACAAGTAGGGTCTTCACTGGAATGTGACCATGCTGGCACCCTGACCTTGGACCCCCAGCCTCCAGACCTGTGAGCAGTAACTGTCTGTTGTCATCCAGCTTTTTGTTGTTGTTGTTACAGCAGCTTGGACTAAGACACTCCCCTATCTTAAATGTCAGACGATGTGAAAATACATTACAAATGTACATTTGGAGGGTTTTGGGGGGGTTTTTGGTAATGATGATACTTGATTTTATCATTCACTTCTAGAAATCACTTAAAATTTAATGTGGCAATTCATGATATATTTTATTACATGTACACTGTACATTTCCTATAAGGCTCTTCTATTATGAACCACCAGCTACATGGTTTCAGCTGGTTATAATTCAGAAGCTTAAACTGAATTTAACAGGCTGTGAGACCAAGAAAAATTGATTTCCTTTCAGTCAGTGTTTAGTCCACTGCTCAAAAAAATTTTAGTGACAAAGTATCAGGACACTCAAACTCCTTTCACATTGTTCTTCTGATTTTATTCTCTGGCAACAACAGCAAGGAAGAAAAAGAAATACTTCCTGAGCACCTGTTATGTACACCAGGCACTGAACCAAGCACCTTGCCCTAACAGCAGCTATTGTTACAAGTGACGAGTGAATGTCACTTTAGGACATAAAAATTTAAAATTTTTAATATGATTTAAAACTAATTTTACATGTCTTATGAAACCTAAGATTTAGCAAAACAACTATAACTCTCCGCTGTCATTTAAAATTTAACAGCTGAAATTAAGTATTTTTGGTTAATCAGATTTTAGATTTTAGGGGAAAAAATCCTGTTTTTCCAGGTAAAAGTGCAGAAGTCACAGTACATAGTTACACAGACACTTCTTCAAGGCAGTTTGGAACTCACTTACCCATTGCTTTTGTTTCTTCCCTTTTAGCATTCAGAAGGGAAAATTTGAATTTTGCTCGAACTTCACTTTTTGGACAGCTGACTAAAAGCAAATATAAGGACAAGTAGTCTTTACTTTCATCATCTAATCCCTTTGGATTTACCCTCAGGCACCTAAAATAAAACAACAGGCTCACAAAGAGGAATATAATACTTGAAACATTCAAGAAACAGGCAATACTGAAATCATTTGTTGAACAATCTAATAGAACAGCACTCCTGCCAACATCCCCACAGTTCTTTACAACTGTCTATACTATTAGGAACTTACTGTAAATCAAATATAAAATTAGATTAATATCCATTCAGAAACAATAACAAAACCATAAAGTCGCTGATGATAACATCAAAAACAAATACCCAAAATAAATAAATATCTTACCATTTCATTTTGTCACTGGGGCTAGATGAAAATGTTGAACTTTTTAACACTTCACCCATTTCTTCTCGGCAAAAACTGAAGTTATTAATGGTCCACATGTAGGAAAACTTTACCACTTTAACCTAAAATATTCAGAGAAGCATTTTTATAATGATGCCTTTTAGGCTCAACTTGTCACGTTAGACAGCCTATGACCCCACTCTTCTAACGCTTCTAATAACAATGCCAAGGTGCTTCACGATATTCTCAAAATACTGTAAAATTTGTAAGTGACATAAAGTAAGGCATTTTTAACAGCATGTACCTGTGTATAACACCAGCTTTCTGCTATAGGACCAGTAGACATATCTCCAGAGAGAGGTGGACTGGGTTCCCGAGACATTGCCAATTTATCACAGTCTTCTAAGATTTATGCAATATCCCACACAGGTGAGTACTTCACTACAAAGAAAACAGGTTTCACTTACAAATAAAAAATTTGACTGACTGAATCAAAAGGGAAGGAGTACTTAAACAGTCATAAAAGAATTATGTTCCCAAATCAGATTATGAGGAAATGTGATGATTTCATTACTTTAGTAAATTTTTAGGGGAGGTAATTAGGTTTATTTATTTATTTAATGGTGGTACTGGGGATTGAACCCAGAACCTTATGCAACTCTACCACTGTGCTATATATCCTCTCCCCATTTTAGTAATTTTTAAAGAAATAAAGTCATAAGCCTTTATGCTATGTAACACTTGAAGTCTAAATAAAGCTAGTATTTGTTATTTTACAAAGACATACTTTCCAAAATGATCACAAATCAAAAAATAACATATAGTTTAATAGTAAAATCATAAATATGAAATTACAAAATAATATGGAAACTTACAACAATTAGTATCTGATTCACCTTCATTCATCTTTTCACTGACATATTTATGAAAATCAAAAGGGTTACAAAGTTAGAACAGCCCTGGAAGCTACACATACTAGTTACTCATCTGTCAGATTCAGACCCCAAAGCTATGACCAGCTGAAAACACAGAATGGGACCTAACAAGCAATGCTGAAGAATTATATACCATAGAAATCTACCCCTTTCTTAGACAACAGGCTCTCTGATAAGACTTCATCCCTATCAGACTGTTCTCTACCAGATAATATGTACCATTATCACAAAACATCCTCCCAATTCTTGAACTACATCCACTTGGATGCATAATTAATCATAATAACCTGCCCAGGGCATCAGTGACTAGATGGTGCTTTGCAACCTGGAAAAGTCTATAAAAGAAAGAGGCAAAATCCAAAAAAGCTACGTAAGTAGTGTACTCTGAAGGGGAGTGTTTCAAGATTATATTCCAATACAAGGACTCAAATGTGGAAAACCCTCTTTTCATTTAAGAATAAGTAATGAGGGAAAAAAACCATGTAAGTCCTATGAAAAGAAACTACTAAGGGAAAAAAAGGGAAGGACTTCATTCAAAATGCAGAAGAAAATAATTTGCTCTGTGTCTACATCCAATGAAACAATAGTATGAAATAAGAAAACAAAGACTGAAGAAAGCTACCTGAAAGATATGTTAAAAACAAAAAGACCTCCAAAAGGTATGAAAAAATGACAAACTACAAATGAAGACGCATACTAAAAATTTGCACTGGAAATAACCAATCAAAATAAGAAACCACCAAAATATATATATTTCTGTGAAATTTAAAAGGAGAAAAAAATGTTACAAGTATCATGCTCCATGAAAGGAACAAAAATCAAGATGGCCCCATTTTCCTCCTCATAACGTACAGAAAACAGGACAATTACTACAGAGTTCTAAGGGATAAGCGGCTGTAGCACAAGGATTGTACAGTGTATCATTTTTTATTCCTTTATGATTAGATTGTTTATGTAATTGCCCTTTTCAGTAATGGCATCTATACTAACACATTAACCCAAATGTATTTATGTAGGTTCCTCACACACAAATGGGTTCCTATCACATGATGTACTTGCAGCACAACACAGTGAATGGGGGAATCAGCAAAGTAGCCAGGCAAGGTCAGGACGATAACACTGGGAATGTTCTATCAGGAGCACTTCAGCATTAAAGGACAAGTGAAGAAGAGCAGATGTTCCTTAATTAAGCAAGCAAGAATAGAGGAGACAAATGACTGAAGAAAGTAAGAGTGCCTCAAAGAAGTCAGGACATAACAAGGGACTCCTTTCCAAAATGTACACACAGTTCATACACCTTAATAGCAAAGAAACAAGCAATCCAATCCAAAAATGGGCAAAGACCTAAACAAACAATTCTCCAGTGAATACATACAAATGGCCAATAGGCACATGAAAAAATGCACGGCATCGCTAATTGTCAGAGAAATGCAGATCAAAATTACAATGAGATATCACATCACACCAGCCAGAATGGACATCACTGAAAAGTCTGCAAATGATAGATGCTGGAGAGGGTGTGTAGAAAAAGGAACCCTCCCACACTGTTGGTGGGAATGTAGATTGGAGCAGCCACTATGGAGGACAGTATGGGGGTTCCTTAAAAAACTGAAAACAGACTTACTACGTGATCCAGCAATCCCACTCCTAAGCAGATATCCAGAGAAAACTATAATTCAAAAAGACACATGCACCCCAATGTTCACAGCAGCACTAGTTATGATAGCCAAGACATGGAAACAACCCAAATGTCCATCAACAGATGACTGGATAAAGATGTGGTACATATATACAATGGAACACTACTCAGCCATAAAAAAGAATAAAATAATGCCATTTGTAGCCATATGGAGGGACCCAAAGATTGTCATTCAAAGTGAAGAGGCCCGGAAAGAGAAGAAAAATGTCATTATGACATTATTTATATAAAGAATCTAAAAAATAATAACAATAATAAGGACACAAATGAACTAATTATTATTTTGATTTCTTGAATATGTATAAGCATATTTGACTGTCCTTTATGATTGGATTACTGCATTCTATTGATTC